GAAAGAGTGGCTGGAAAGTGCCCAGTGGAAAAGGACCTGGTTGCCCAGGGAAGTGGTGAACTCAGCATTGCTGGCAATGCTCAAAAACTGCGTAGAATTTTCACTTTGGGACACAGTGTATTTATTGGCCATGGTGGAGTTGGGTTGATGGTTGGACTTGATGTCCTTAGAGGTCTTTTCCAAACTTAATGATTCTGTAATTCTGTGATTCTGTAGCAGCAGATGGAGATGACCCAGTATGTGCCCAGGTGGCCAGGGAGGCCACCAGCATCCTGGCTGGTGTCACCCCAGGGTGGGCAGCAGGAGCAGGGCAGGGATGGTGCCCGTGTGCTGAGGGGAGACCTGCTGGCTCTGCAGCTGCTGAGAGGAGGTTGGAGCCAGGGGGGTCGGGCTCTGCTCCCCAGGCACAAGCGACAGGACAAGAGAGAACGGCCTCAAGTTGTGCCAGGGGAGGCTGAGGTTGGATCTGGGGAACAATTTCTCCCTGGCAAGGGTTGTCAGGCCCTGGCCCAGGCTGCCCAGGGCAGGGGGGGAGTCCCCATCCCTGGAGGGGTTTCCAAGCCCTGGAGATGGTGCTGAGGGACACGGGGCAGGGGTGGCCTGGGCAGGGCTGGGGGAAGGGTTGGGCTGGGTGGTCTTGAAGTTCTTTTCCAACCCAAACAATTCCATGGTTCTATGCCCTGTTCCATCAGCTACTGCTGAACACAAGGTCTCCAGCCCCCACCTGCTGCAAACCAGCAGGATTCACTGGGAATTCCCAGGGCACAGACTGTGACAAACCTGTGTCCCTGACACCAGCAGGACTCGGGGTGCTCCTCAGAGACCACGTCTGGGCTCCTGCAGGGACAATTTCCAAGCTCCACAGCTCTGCTGGAGGGACTCCCCCCAGATGTCACACACTCAGGTGACACACGGAACAGATGTGTTGTGTGTGCTCATGCACATGGTCTGAAATAGCCACGGGGCTCCTGGATGTCTCAAACACCAGATCCAGGAACCACCCCCCAAAGCACTGACCCACTTGCAAACCAGTGCAAAGTAGAACTTCAGAGACTTAAAGACCCTCCTGATCCCATCCCTGGAGACACCCAAAACTCAAAGAGTCCTGGGCAGCCAGCTCTGCGTGGTCCTGCCTGGGCAGGGGTTTGACCAGGCTGCCTCCAGATGTGCACCCCAGGACCATTTCCAGAGGGTCTACCTAGGACCCCTCCAGAGCCCTCGCCCAAGACAATCTCTAGAGGCCTGCACTGAGCACCTCCAGAGGCAGAGGTCCCACTAAGGACCACCTCAAGAGGCAGAGGTCCCACCCAGACCACTTCCAGAGGTCCCATCCAGGACCAGCTCCAGAGGGGCAGCTCAGACCACCCCCAGGGGCAGTGCCAGGGGCCCACACACTCCAAAGCCTCCCCCTCCAGAAAAAACAACTCCAGAACCATTTGGGGATTATATAACCTCATTAAACACAGGGGCCTACATTTCAATGCTCCTCCTGCCAAACCCCATGACCAGGAGGTGTTTCTCCTCCCCACCAGGGGTGAGGAGTTTGAGTTGGACACATTTCTTGGCTGTGACACACTTGGTGTCTCAGTGGCTGACACCAGCTTCACACCAGGTTCAAAACAGGCTCACACCAAGTGGTTCCACCAAGTGGGACTTTCTGGAGCTTTATTCCTCGTGGTTTTTTAATCTGTAGAAACTCCAACGTCCCTCCCACATCTGTGGATCTCTGCTCATCAAACCTTCTGAAGACCACCAAGCACCTGGGTGAGAGGTGCCCACGTGCCCCAACTCATGACTGTGCCAGTATCAAGGGGCCCAAAGGGACCAAGGGACTGAAGAGCTTCCTGTGCATCATCCCCCTGTCACCACATCCCCCCCCTGTCACCACCCCACCCCCTGATCACCACACCAACTTTAACATCTCAACAGCCTGTGAGCCACACAAGCTCAGGTGATCTCTGGTTTCTCTATTCTCCTTCACCAAAAAAGAAGGAGATGAGCTGGGAGCAGCTGAGGGAGCTGGGGGTGTCCAGCCTGGAGCAAAGGAGGCTGAGGGGAGACCTGCTGGCTCTGCAGCTGCTGAGAGGAGGTTGGAGCCAGGGGGGTCGGGCTCTGCTCCCCAGGAACAAGCGACAGGACAAGAGGGAACGGCCTCAAGTTGTGCCAGGGGAGGTTGAGGTTGGATCTGGGGAACAATTTCTCCCTGGCAAGGGTTGTCAGGGCCTGGCCCAGGCTGCCCAGGGCAGGGGGGGAGTCCCCATCCCTGGAGGGGTTTCCAAGCCCTGGAGATGGTGCTGAGGGACACGGGGCAGGGGTGGCCTGGACTGGGCTGGGGGAACGGTTGGGCTGGAGGATCTTAAAGGTCTTTTCCAATCCAAACTATTGCATTATTCTGTGATTTTTTCTAATCTACCAATATTCATTAAAGTTAGAGAAAACTTTGCTTTTCAAGCCTCTTTCCTGCTAACATTCCTGGCCCCAGGGAGTGGGATCAGAAGACGAGAAGAGCCAGGGACTGCCTGAGATACCATAAACCTTGTTTCTGGGCTCCCCAGTTGATGAAGGACAAGGAGCTACTGGAGAGAGCCCAGGGCAGGGCCAGAAAGATGCTGAGGGGACTGGAGCACCTGCCCTGTGAGGAAATGCTGGGAGAGCTGGGGCTGGAGACTGAGGGGGGATCTCATCAACATTATCAATATCTGCAGGGAGTGTCAGGAGGATGGGACCAGTCTCTTGCCAGCAGTGCCCAGTGGCAGGACAAGGGGCAATGGGCACAAGCTGGAGCACAGGAGGTTCAAGTTAAACATAAGGAAAAACATATTTAGTGTGAGGGTGACAGAGCCCTGGGACAGGCTGCCCAGAGAGGCTGTGGAGGCTCCTTCTTTAGAGACATTCCTGACCTGTCTAGATGTGTTCCTGTGGGATCTGTTGTAGGTAACCCTGCTCTAGCACAGATTTGGACTAGATGATCTTCATAGGTCCCTTCCAACCCCCACTCTGTGACTCTCTGTGACTCTGTGACTAGATGACCTCCACCATGGCTTTGTCTAGCTGAGTCTTGAAGTCTTCAAGGATGAAGATCCTAGATAGCTGAGGGTAGTTTGGAATTTATGTTGGACAACACCCTCAACAGAACTTGAAGGAGGGGGAGTAATCACCATCCTTTCCCCAGTCACTATATCTTAGAGGGAGAGCCTCTGCTGCCCTGAGCACAGTCATGCCACACAGGTGGAAGGATGCTGGCTGAGATGTTTGGTCCAGCCAGCAGCAAGTGAGCCCTGTTCAATCAGGAAGGAAGTACACTCAACAAGCCTTTTTCTGCTAAAACTTTCTTCATTGTTGATGCTCAGTGACCTTGATCTGTAAGAAAAATTCAGGAATAAATTAAGTACTGACCTAAAATGAGTCTGAGAAAGACCATCTCTGTCTGGATCTACCATACATGGGTGGACTCTGCTAAGTTAGATAAGCGAGGATGGGTTGCAGCAGGCAACAAATTAATTTCAGATAATTACCTGCCTTAAAGAGATGCCACCATGCTGGTAACACAAAATGCAGCCAGTAACATAAATGTGGGTGTTCCGCTGCTGATCCATACTTGGAAAAGGCAGCAAATGGCATGATAGCCTGGTGTTTGTCATGAGGTACAATATATAAAAAGTCATCTTCTCCCCATGAGTTCTGGGTAGCTCCAGGCTAATAACAGGTGCTGGCCGGAGCAGGGTCCCTTCACTTCCTGAAATGTTACAGAGAAGTGCTCAAGATCTGCCACTCCACAGGCAGAAGTTTAATTGAGGGTATAGTGCCAGGGAGATGGTATTTTAAATTAATATAATGCACACATGGAGAACGACATTCAATATTTATCAAAGCAACCTTATTCAGAGCCAGTCCCATGCTGCTTCCAAAGAAAGTGTTGATTGTATCTCTGTTAGTGTCTGAAAAGTGCTGTGCTACTCAGATGGGGCAGGAGACCAGCGTGGCAGAGCTGGAGACAGGGTGGGATGTCCCAAGGCATTGCATTGTGAAGTATGGGCAGCTCATCCTGACACTTGTCACTCTGAAGCTCACCTCAGCTCCCATCCAGGGAGGTCACCTGGCCACCCCACTCATGTTGGAGGCTCTCTGGGGGGTTTTTGCAAGCCCACCTTGGCTGATGTGGCATCATGTATCTTCATACTTTCTGGCTTTGAGATCTGCCATGCCTCATCTGTCTAGGGCCAGGCAGCTATTTCTGCTGAGAATAAGACAGGATAGGGCTGCAAAGTTTCTAAATTTCCACACAGATGAAAGCTTTATTCTAGTTCTTGAACTCCAGAAGATAAATATTTCACTCTGGTACTTCAGCCATTAATGCTTGGTCCTACAACCTGGAATAGTAGGGGTGCTTGGTCTGCAGGTGAATTTCTCAGGAATATGGACCCTCTGGCATCAAATTCGGGTAAATAATTTTTTTTCCCACCTCCCCATGTGCTTTTCTTTTTCAGGTTACAAAAGCTGTTCCCAATTGTCAGGGACATATGATTCTTCATACTCAACCTCTTCTGATTTGTGGGGGTGATGGATTTACTCATTCCAACTTCGATGGCTGCATAGATTCTGCTGTGAGTCTTGCAGAAGCTGTGAAGTCTCATTTACAGCAATTTTAAATCCAGCTGCTAAACTTGGTCTAGATTTAGGATGGGTTTTACTATGATGGATTGAAATCTAGTTTGTTGTGAACATCACTATCCTCTATGTAGCAAAAAATAAATAAAGGAAGGTCTATTGGTGTGCTGTAATTATTATTGGGATGGAATTGAATTTTCCAGTGAGTTGTTACTTTGCTTGAAGTAAATTTTTTCTGGCTCTAATCAGATGCACTGAGCTCCAGCCATCTTGCCAGGTCTCCTGATATTTTACAGCCCATGAAAATGATGTCAAGGAGAGGAGGCTGCCTTGAAGCAGCACAAAAACCCAAGGAGCTGCAGAGTTTACTCCTCTGAGTATTTGGAGCCCTGGGAGTGGCAAAAAGAAAATGCACAATTGATCATGCAAACATGTGGTCACCTCTTCTGGTGCAGATCAGCCCTGGTCATATTTGTTGTACTTACCCATAAGGAATCAGTGGTGAGGCAGACCTTGCTATTCTTCTCAAGATGGCCTGTCCAACTGTTTTGGCTCAAGGTCTAACCCTGACAACTGGTGTCCAGCCTGGAGCAAAGGAGGCTGAGGGGAGACCTGCTGGCTCTGCAGCTGCTGAGAGGAGGTTGGAGCCAGGGGGGTCGGGCTCTGCTCCCCAGGAACAAGCGACAGGACAAGAGGGAACGGCCTCAAGTTGTGCCAGGGGAGGTTGAGGTTGGATCTGGGGAACAATTTCTCCCTGGCAAGGGTTGTCAGGGCCTGGCCCAGGCTGCCCAGGGCAGGGGGGGAGTCCCCATCCCTGGAGGGTTTTCCAAGCCCTGGAGATGGTGCTGAGGGACACGGGGCAGGGGTGGCCTGGACTGGGCTGGGGGAACGGTTGGGCTGGAGGATCTTAAAGGTCTTTTCCAATCCAAACTATTGCATTATTCTGTGATTTTGTCTAATCTACCAATATTCATTAAAGTTAGAGAAAACTTTGCTTTTCAAGCCTCTTTCCTGCTAACATTCCTGGCCCCAGGGAGTGGGATCAGAAGACGAGAAGAGCCAGGGACTGCCTGAGATACCATAAACCTTGTTTCTGGGCTCCCCAGTTGATGAAGGACAAGGAGCTACTGGAGAGAGCCCAGGGCAGGGCCCCCAAGATGCTGAGGGGCTGGAGCATCTGCCTGGGAGGAAAGGCTGGGGGAGCTGGGGCTGCTCAGCTGGAGAGGAGGAGACTGAGGGGGGGGCTCCTCCAGGCTGAGGAGGGTCTGGGTCAGGAGGGGGGGACCAGTCTCTTCTCAGCAGTGCCCAGGGACAGGCCAAGGGGCCATGGGCACCAGCTGGAGCACAGGAGGGTCAGGCTGAACATGAGGAGGAACTTGTTGCCTGGGAGGGTGGCAGAGCCCTGGGCCAGGCTGCCCAGAGAGGCTGTGGAGGCTCCTTCTCTGGAGACATCCCAGCCCCTCTGGAGGTTCCTGTGGGACCTGCTGGAGGGATCCTGCTCTGGGGGGTTGGATGGATGGTCTCCAGAGGTGCCTTCCAACCCTCATCATGCTGTGGCTGTGACTCCTTAGGAAACCAGGCTAAGAGCATCTGAGAGACCTGTCAGCATGAACCTGCATCTCTAGAGTTGCCCCCAAACAGCTGGAGCTGCCTTTGGGGTGAGCATGAGGAGCAGAAATAGATCACTAATTAGAAGCTTCCCCCAAGAGGGACGTTTGAATCGAGGTCACTGATGGCATCTTAAACTTCATTGAAAATTCACTCCCAGAAAGGAAAATGCAACAATGATTTGAGGACACCATGAAGTCGCTGGACAAGATTTACTCTATAATTACACCAACCCCCCCAGTGCTCCAGCCTTGGGGCAGAGTGGCTGGAAAGTGCCTGGGAGAAAAAGTCCTGGGGGGTTTTGTCAACACCAGCTGGAGATGAGCCAGTGTGTGCCCAGGTGGCCAAAAAGGCCACCAGCAGCCTGGGCTGGTGGGAGGTGTCCCTGCCCATGCAGGGGGTGGGACTGGATGATCTTTAAGGTCCCTTCCAACCCAACCCATTCCATGACTCTGATGATGATTCCAGACCAGCCCATCCCCTACGTGTGCTCCCCAGGTATGAGTGTACAAAGATCATCCTTAAGAGCAGAAAAAGGCTTAAATTTGAGCCTCTTCCATCCTTTCAAAGAGTGTCTCCCCAGCCCCAAAGACAGGAACGACCACATGTCTCCAGGGGACACAAGGGGGGTTAGAGCTGATGACTTGGGAAGCAGAGATGCTCAGTACTCAGGCAGCCACTGGCTCCCCAGGGACAACTACTGAAATTCCTTCTCCAGCAGCTCCAAAGCCAAGAGCAGAAGTTTCACTTCAATAAAAGTTTGGAGCTCAGCAGAGGAAGAGCTTGTCCCTGCAGGTCCAGCATCACGGGGGTGTTTTAGGTTGGAAAAGACCTTTCAGATCCCAGAGTCACCCCCTCCCCTCGGGGTTGCTGCTGGAACAGGTCTCTGGTGGCAGCTCCTGGGGCTGGGCTGCACGTGGGGCTGAGGGGAGCTGGGTGGGTTGGTCACAGCCTGGCAGCAGCACTTCAGTGGGTGGGTAAATGGCAGGAAAGAAGCTATTTAGGACAATTCTCCAAATCAAACTATCATAAAATCCCAAGACTTCCACAGGAATCTAGCTCTGCAGACTTCCCAGCCCCAGGATTTAACAGAAGTGACAGAAAAAAGCCTTTTCCATTAATCAACAGAAACACCATCATCTCTGTCCTCCTCAGGAGAACCTGCTGGGAAGCTGCTGACAACTGCAAAGTTCCCTAACTGCTCTTCAGACACAATTCCTTCTCTTTTTCAGGAGCCTTCTCTTCTCCAGGCTGAACACCCCAACTCTCCCAGCCTGGCTCCAGAGCTGCTCCAGCCCTCCCAGCATCTCCGGGGCCTCCTCTGGCCTCTCTCCAACAGCTCCGTGTCCTCCCTGTGCTGGGGACCCCAGAGCTGGACACAACACTCCAGATCCCTTCACCTCTTTCCTTTAGCTTCAAGCACTTTGCTCACCTTGAGCAGAGCTTTGTGAGCATCCACCTCAACTGAGGCAACATCCCCAACCAAGAGCTTTCCCTTTTCTCAGTCACTTCTTTCTATCAGGTAAGAGAACAACAATTTTATTTCTCCTCACTAAAACCTCCAAGGCCAAGACAACAAAAATTTGTGCCATTTCAGCACTACACACAGATTTGCTGTCACTGTCTCCTCCTGGGTGGTGAGGGAACATGGGGAACCTCACACCATGAGGACACAGCAGCCCAGGGCTTTGCCCAGCAGTGACCAAAGAGGCTCCACCAGAATCAGACACGTTTCCCACAATTAAAAGAGAAAGGAATGAAGTGATGAGTAACAGGCACATAAATAGATTCTCTTGTCTTCCAGTGTTAAAACAAACCCATCATCCCTTGTGTGGAGCAAGATGCTAAGTGGCTGGAAACCCCCAGAAGAGGAAGAGCTGCAGACACTCTAGAGCAGGGTATGGAAACGTCCATGGGTCAAACCTGGCCCAGGATGGCACGTCACTCCCTGCTCCAGATGCAGACACAGGCAGCGAGTTTGTGCACCTGAACCTCAGGCACCCACGTCAGCATTCCTGGGGGGAACAGCCCTCTCTGGGCAGGGAGCTGCAGGGAGGGACAGGGGGGCAGCCGAGCACTCACCTCGTCGCTCTCCTCCACGTCCACGTTGCCGTTGGCGTCATCGTCCATCTGCTTGTGGATGTTGCGAACGGCCTCGAAGCTGAGCTGCTCGTCCTCGTCGTGGCACAGGGGCCTGTCGATGCGGCAGAACTCTGAGGGGACACAGCAACGTCAGGCAGCCTGGCCAGAAACACCACCCACGGCTTCCTCACTAAGCTTCTCTCCTCCTAGAGGAGGCCCCGGAGATGCTGGGAGGGCTGGAGCAGCTCTGGAGCCAGGCTGGGAGAGTTGGGGTGTTCAGCCTGGAGAAGAGAAGGCTCCAGGGAGACCTGAGAGCAGCTTCCAGGGCCTGAAGGGGCTCCAGGAAAGCTGGGGAGGGGCTTGGGACAAGGGCAGGGAGGGATGGGAGCAGGGGGAAGGGTTTCCAGCTGGCAGAGGGAGCTGGAGCTGAGATGGGAGGGAGAAATTCTGGGCTGTGAGGGTGGGGAGAGCCTGGCCCAGGTTGCCCAGGGAAGCTGTGGCTGCCCCATCCCTGGGGGTGTTGAAGGGCAGGTTGGATGGGGCTTGGAGCAGCCTGGGCTGCTGGGAGGTGTCCCTGCCCATGGCAGGGGGATTAGAACTGGATGAGCTTTAAGGTCCTTCCAACACAAACCAGTCTGGGATTCCTGTGTCTGGAAAGCCCTGGCTAAGCAGTGCAGACCACCCCTCAGTGCTGTCACTCCCAGCAGGGTTATGTCCAACAACCAAGCCCTGTGAAACCCCAAACACCAACACGTTGGTCGTGGCCTCAGCCTGGTGCCTCTTCCCCAGGCCAAGTCCACCAGCCCTTCCACTGCCCTGGCCTCCCAGTGCTCCCAGGGCAGGTCTCAGGGCCAGGGCTTCTCCTGCCCGTTTTCAGGACAGAGGGAACTACAGCTCCAGTTCTGCCTCCTGTTTCACGAGGCTCATTTCTCACTTGGGGTTTGTTAGTGTTGGCTCCTCCTCCCACTGGGACGTTTTGCGAGCGGGTCCCATGTTTATACAACACGTCAATTAAAACAAGTTTGCCTTCTTCCTGATTATGGAATGGATTTTTCTGGCTTGTTTTCACATATTTTTCTACATTTCAAGACTAACACTTTAAATTTCGCTGGGTGCCCAAGTCCACACAAGCACCAAACGTGGCTGTTGGGCCCTTTGCTGCAGGGTGGCCTGTGATTCACCCCGATGACCACAGAGCAGCCCTAGAGACTAAAGCACAGACCCAGGCACTCAGACCAGCTCCCATGGGGAGCTCCTCAGCTGGGCTGTGTGAAGAAAAACCCTTTTTGTTTCACAGGGGCTGGATCAGATTCACTGTGAGCAGATAATGATAAAGGAATTATCCCGGGGTGATTGCTGTGCAACCAGTTTAACAGCTCCTGGCCCAGTTCCATGCAGGAAGGTCTCACATTTAAAACCTCAAAGAGGGTTCAGGATGAACTCTGAGGAACTGCAGAAGGAAAGTCTATAAATTATGCATGAGCTCAGAGCAAACTCTGAGATGATCCCTTTGAGGTAAGATGAGCTTATAAGAAAAGGAGATGGATTTGTCCCATCCCTGAAATATTGAAGGCCAGGTTGGATGGGGCTTGGAGCAACCTGGACTAGTGGAAGGTGTCCCTGCCCAGGTGGGAATGGATGAGCTTTAAGGTCCCCTCCAACCCACACCAGTCTGGGATTCTATGATTTCCAGACTCCATGGTAGAAACCCAAACCTCAGCCCTTCTGGACTGGGTAAGAAAGAACAGAACAACCCAACCCACCACACACCTCAGCTCAACACGTCACTCGTGTGCAGCCACCCTGCACTTCAGAGATGCTTAAGAACACACTTGTAACACACCTCCATGTCCTGGAGGGGTTTCAAAGCCCTGTAGCTGTGGTGCTGAGGGACATGGGGCAGTGGTGGCCTTGGCAGGGCAGGGGGAACAGTTGGACTGGATGACTACAACAGTCTTTTCCAACTCCACAACTGGATTCACAGCCTCTGCGGTTGGACCTGAGAAAAACATCTGGGACAGCAACACCCACCAGGGAGGTGGCAGCTGGGGACAACCTGGTGGCAGCAGAGTGTGAGCTCAGGAGGGGAGGTCAGCATCTCCTTGTGGGGTGGGCCAGGAAGCCTTGGTCCCTCCCCTGCCCCCGGGGCAGCAGGAGCTGGCAGGGCGACCAGCACACCCAACATCATCCAGGGGCTCCACAGCAACCAGGGGAAGCAGGTTTTCCTCTTTTTTGATTGTAATTGGCAAGGGAGAGGAACTTGGAAATGTTATTTGCAACATCTTTAGATGCCCCAACAATGGCTTGACCAGCTTTGGTTTTCCTCTCCTGGAATTTGTTCCCTCCAGGCCTTCTTAGCTGTTACTGGGGAAATGTTGTCCCAGAAGTCGGGCCCATCCCCCTGTGGGCAAGACCCTTGGGCTGGGCCTTTTCTGGGATGATCTGTCCCACTGATCTCAGTGCAGGAACACGGGATGCTCATTGTATTTATGCTGCCTTTGGACTTGACTTCAGAAGGAAAAATTCAATCAGGCTAAAATGTATCTCCCAAAATACTCCATGATCCTCTTGTTCCCAGTCCCTGCCTGTGGTCACAGCACTGGAGGAAGCAACGCTCCAGCCAAGTGCAAATCCCAGGAAGGAAAGGGCATGTTGTTGTAAAACAAGAGTGGTTTTATTCTTCTTAACACTCTCAGAACCACCCAGCTCTGGAGCCCCAGCCCAGGGCTGTCCCAGTGCTCCGTCCTCTCTTCTGGCCACAAGATCCATGGATCTGAAGGCTCCTTGCCCAGATTTCTTGGGAGCCCGAGGACAACCCTGGAGTGTTTGTAAGACAAAGGCTCAGGGTGCAGCAGGACTGTGAAAGGGGCTGAAGGAGCCATCAGGAGATGTCTGTGCTGATAAGAGCACACAAGTCACAGCAATCAAGGCAGTAAATGGGGAGGAATTTGTGACTTGTATCCAGGCCAGAAAAACCCTGAATCAGGGCACCAGTGATTTAATCAGAAGACCCTGCACTGATCACAGAATGGTCCAGAGGCTTGTACAGAGAGAAAACTGCTGTCTGGTCCTCATCAGCTGTCCCAAGCTGTTCTTAGGCTGGGGAACACACCAGGATTTAGGGCTGTGACTCATGGACCCCTCGGAGCTGCCACCATCATCTTTAATCCCACCACTCTGAGCCATCAGGAGTCTTTTGTCTCCTCATCCTGCTCCTTTGTGCCTCCAGTCCCGTTCTTTATCTCCCCACCATCATCTCTCCATAGCTCCAGGCTGTCCTTCCTGCCAGAACACAGCGTCCCTTCTCCTTCCCCCGGGGAGCCCGGATAGGGTGATGATGGCCTCCAAACCTGGGCACTATCAACACATGCCATCTCCACAGCCCTTCTCCAGCCATTGTTCTGTCCTCAGCCACCAGCCTTCACCCTCGGGGCTCCCTCTCCCCACTAAAGGTGCTCCCTGCTCTTGTCCCAAGCCCCTCCCCAGCTTTCCTGGACACCCTTCAGGCACTGGAAGCTGCTCTCAGCTCTCCCTGGAGCCTTCTCTTCTCCAGGCTCAACACCCCAACTCTCCCAGCCTGGCTCCAGAGCTGCTCCAGCCCTCCCAGCATCTCCGGGGCCTCCTCTGGACTCTCTCCAACAGCCCCATGGGACAAGGACAGCACTTTGGGTTGGTTTTCTGAACAGATCAGAAAGACATAAGCTAGGAAACACCTTGGGGGCAGTGACACTTCGCAGTCCTGCCCCCTCTCCTGCTTTGACTGCCTGGTCAGCTCCAAACAGACAAGAGGCTGTGACACGAACTGGAACACAGGAAACTCAGCTTAACCTCCAGAAACAACAGTTTCACTCTAAGGGTGGTCAAGAGGTTGCCCAGACATGCTGTGGAGTCTCCATCCATGGAGAAAGAAAAATCTCAGCTGGACACAGCCCTGGACAACCAGCCCTGGGTGACTCTGCTTGAGCAGGGATGCAGAGGACAATCTTCAGAGGTCCCTGCCAGCTCCAGAGACTCCCTAACATCCCAGTATTTGATTCCAGATTTTTCCTTTCTCGTGGGAGAGTCTCTCTAATGAGAATCCTGTTTGTTTGATCCCAGGTTCTCTCCTTTTCTGCTCCAAGGTCCCATTATCTGTAATGATGCTGTGAAGCTGCACTGATGCCACCACAGCCCAGTGTCCCCAGCAGCCCTGAGCTCTGCAGCAAGAGTAGCCAAGGGGGCAGGATCAGACTGAGCTTGATTACAACAACTGTCATTTACATAACTTGCTTTTATAAACACTGAAACAGCAGCCAAAATAATAATAATTAAAAAAAAAGTCTTGCATTGGAGGGATAAGAATTGTTTACATATTTCACTAATGTAAACTAGGCCTGGGTTTAACAGCCCCACTCAGGGCTCCTCCCCTGCCACTGCTGCTCAGTTCAAACAGAGCTAAAGGGAACTTCATACCTGTTCACAGAGGCTTTAATCGGGTGAGGAACAAACCCCAGGTTTCCATTCCCCCTGGAGGGGAAGGAAAGCAGCAGGGCATGAAGGGCTCCTGCAGGGCTGGCGAGGAAGGGAATAAAAGGGCAGAACAACCAGTGTTTTCCAGCTCGAATTCCCAAAGCCAAGAGCCTGAGGATGCTCCCAGAGCAGCCACTTCCACGGGCAGAAAATACTCCCAAGTATTTTTATACTCCAAGTTTCCACTGTACAGCTGGACACCATTTACTATCTAGAGCCCCCCCAGCCCCTGCTCCACGTCTGGCCCAGCTCACCCACAACCCCAGTGAAAACTCACCCCTAGCAGGGTTTGCTCTAAAAAAAAAATAAAAATAAAAGGTGACCGTGTGAAGGAGAACTGGGATTTACCACCTGCCCGTGTCCTGCTCTGTTTGAAGTTGTTTCCTTGGCAGCAAAATTCCTTCCTTGGCAGGTGCAGGGGCAGGACACAACACCCTGGTGGGGAAGGCAGGAACCTGTGACCTGTGGCACAGCACCCACTGCCCTGCAACCATGGGCCTCACCTGCCCCGTCACCCCCTGACAGGCCAGAGCTCCAACGTGGGGCTTTCAGAGAGGATTTCACAGAATCACGGCATGGTTTGGATGGGAAGGGACCTTAAACACCATCCAGTG